AAGAACCTGAACCAAACAATTTCAGCACTTAGTAAGCAATCCTGGAATGGACCAATAACAAAGCAAGTAACTGATTGAATAGTCCCAAGCAAAATCGACTATGCATTGCACTCGACAACACTGACAAAGACCCAACTACACGTAATCCAAACAAGAATTAATTGTTTAATCAAATGAAAATTCAACATAGGAAGAACCATCTCTGACAGAATTGTATATTCGCAAGCTGGCCTCAAATGTATTAATCTCATGGACAAACAAGACCTCACCCTGACCAAACTCCTTGTCATAAAAGCATGTAATCCAAAAACGTCAGATACCCTCAACATAGAAATCAAATCAATACAGGCTAGCAGTGTAATTTGGCTATGCCCAATATGCCATCCGGAAAAATTTTCTAGCAGCTGGATAACTCAAGCTGCCATGGCATGCAAAAAATACCAAATTAATGTGTGTCTCCCAAACTGCAAATTTAATAACCCTGACGGTAACTTATCCCTAGGTCTCCTCTTCCTATTCAAAGACAAAGTATACAAGTGACAAGTCTTAAGTCTATTCCATAAAGGAATTAAGATCCTCAAAGACCTGTGCATCTACAAGAGCAACCGGAGACTCACCTGGCATAAATTCAATGCACATATAGGCCCACTCCGCCAGGTCCTGTGCCAACATGGTTCCTACAAATCAAAACCCCATCTGATATTCAAGAAACTTCCACTAGCATTCCCAACCTCAAAGCTAAATTCTGGGCCTTCATGGAAAACAACCAAGTATTATATATTAAGTCAAGAATTAATAGAGATCCAAGACGACCACTTAAGGGACCGCACTACACGATTGATCCAAGCAATATGCTCACAAAATGCCAATGCCATAATACTGGAACACATATCACTGTACCTACTGGTAAAGCCATGTCTCTTTGGACCTACTCAAAAAACAATCAACACTATCTAGCCAATGCCTCTGAAGAAATAATAAAACAGCTGCAAGCACACCCTGAAGCTAATACCACCCCCACCATCATGATCAACAATAATTTATCTGGCAAAGATACCATCCAATTAAATGTGAATATGATAGAAAATATTAAGCAGCTGATAGCAAACATCCGTCCTTTCCCAATAATAGACCTAACAACAAAAGATGATTTAGTCCTTATAGAAAACAAAGAAATCAACTTAGCACTGCACTCAGT